TAAATGTAAGAATTTCAACTGCCATTTAAAAACTTCTTATCTTCCTTGCAGAGCACAGCAAAAAATTTTGTTTTGATGGATGCCACTGGCTCATAAACATGTGGGCTGATTCAACTCACTAAACTGGCAAAAAGTATTCACTTCTTGTTAATTTTCTGCCAGTTTAATGAACAGAACAAATGCTAGAAGTGGTGCAACAGAAGCAGCACAGACTCAAAAGTAGTTTCAGGAGGACAGGACAGAACTGCATGTATCATCATTAGCAAGCTGTTAGATCAACTTACATACCTCATTTAAATTCACCATAGAAACAGCAAGTACAGAATAGAAAGAGCATCTGAAAAGTCACTTCAGGCACTTCACAGACTAGGAGATGACTAGATATTTTTCATAGCTACAGAGAAATCTGTTACCCGTGAGCTTGTCTAATCCCTTTTCCTACTCATACCTCTGGTGTTTGTGGCATCCTGTGGTCATGCATTTCTCATGCTATCAAGCCGTGTTTAAACTGCAAGAGCTACTTTTATTTGTTTAAACCTGCTACACCCTTCTGTTGCCAGACATGCTGACAGTTTCTGTTGCTTCCCCATACTATTTGTGATTTTATGGGTGTTTATTATCTCCCCTCCCCCCACCTCATTTCTGGTCACATTATTTACACTCTGCACCCTTTGGAATACACAACCTTTTCTGCCAAGTACTATAAGAAGAGGAAGCTGCCACGCCACAGTGACAGTCTTTGAGATAAGAAAGAGACCCTGGGGAAAGAGATCGCTGCTTTTCTCTGCTATTCTTATCAACTCTGCTATTCATATCAAGCACACAAGCACAGTGACCTTCTCCAGCCCACCCTAAACACAGCACCAACAGCATAACCTCTGCTGTATTTCCTCCTCCCTTGCCCTGTGCCTCTGCATCCTCTTTCATCTTCCTGTTCCAGCCCATATGTAGCTTGCCCCACTGCTGGTTCCCTTTATTCTTCAGGTTGAGTTGGGCTCCCTGACTTTGTTCTTGTCTCCTCTGCCAATTTTTGGCAAAAGGTTGCCTCTGTTGCCAAACTTTGGCTCAGCACTCCCCCACTCCAGCCCAGAGCCCAGGTCTGCCTTCAGCACTTCTTACATCCCCACTTGTCCCTTTCTGTCATTTCTGATGTTTCCACTGAATGCACTAAGTCCCCACAAATAAGAAAGGAAAAAAATCGCTCCTTCCCCTCAGGACAGCTAGAGCTTCCTTATTTCTCATTTCCTTTAGGTCATGCATCACATTTCATTTTCTGTGAGAAAACTTTCTCTAACTCTACAACACAGCTTTTTTCACCTGTGTATCTCCTCAGACAGCTGCAGCCCTGTTGCCGCATCCATGGTATTGTCAGCTGCAGCCATGCCACTTTCCACCACAGTGGGTAGGGTGACTCCCATGCTGATCCAGAGGTCTGACACACTGACATTCCCTGGTTTTCCAGTCACTGTTTCTTCCTCACACTGGAATCCCCACCTGGAAGCTGGTTCAGATACAGTATTGATATCTGAACCTTCCGGCTTCTTTGTTCTTTATTTTTCCTTAGAGCTCAGCATGTTCCTCAGTATTTCCCTCACATCTCCCTTGATTGCCTCCCATCAGTCAAGCTGGGTAGTGAGGTCATTACACTCTGCCTTGTGCTTTCCTTCCAGCAGCAGTTCATTGTCCAAATACTGCTGACATATTGTGGCACAGGAGACTGAGAAGCGTCCTTCATAGTCCGTAATGAGCATGACTGTGTAGATTGCATTAATCATAGAATCATTTAAGTCGGAAAAGATCTCTAGGATCATCAGGTCCAACCATTAACCTAGACTGTCATGTCTACCACTAAACCATGTCTCTAAGCACCACATCTACACGTCTTTCAAATACCTCTTGGGATGATGACTCAACTACTTCCCCAGGCAGCCCATTCCAATGCCTCACAACCCCTTCAGTGAAGAAATTTGTCCTAATATCCAACCTAAACTGCCCCAGTGCAACTTGAAGCCATTTCATCTTGTCCTTTTGCTTGTTGCTTGGGAGAAGAGACTGAATGCATGATGAGGACTCACTAAGGCCTGGGGCACGGGCACAATAGC